AATAAATTTTTTTCCAGTGTAGTAAAATATATATTCAGACGGGCTAATAAAAAAAATTTGATTAATATTGACTCATTATTAATATTATTACTATTATCACTATTATAATTATTCGTATTAATTTTAGTATTATTTTTAGTATTATTATTATTATAATTTTTAGTATTATTATTATTATTATTATTATTATTATTATTATTATTATTATTATTATTATTATTATTATTATTATTATTATTATTATTATTATTATTAATAATAAAATGAGTTGAATAAAACTTTGCAATATTATTTATTAATATATAAAATCTTTTATAGAAGATTATTTGTTATTTCTTATTTTGTTAGCGCAAGAGAGCTCTATAGTAGATTTCACGCAACGATGAATATCTCAACCCCATTTTCTCCTTCTATCTCACTTTGAATAATAATTCAAACTCTTTCCCTGGTACTTCAGAAGAGATGACGATAAAGCTCGTACGTCTTCATCCCCCGAACAAAGTATGTCTTGACGACTTAAAAAATGGAGGAGAGATGTAAGTTAAAGGGAAAGAAGGAGAAAAAAAAGTTACATAGAAATATATCTTAACAATGCCCTTTTTTACAAATTTATATATATATATATATTTGTTATCGTTCATAACAAGCAATCACTTTTATTATCCTATCTTCCAATAATAGAGAAAGAAAGAAAAAAAAATTCTATTGGAAATAAAATTAGATTGTATTGATACTGAATATAAGAAACCAGCATTTATTTTTTGTTTCGTATCAAATCCAATGCTAAATAACATTGGCGCAATCTATGAGCTTTATTTTTTTTTTTCGTTACGTTTTCAATAAAATTGAGTTATACAAGAATTTTTTCTTTATATAAAATCAAAAAATACTTCAAAATTAGACAAAAAGAAAAAAAAAAGAAAAGAAATTAATCGTAAATATAAAAAAAAATAATCGTTAAAATTTGAAAGAAATTAATTAATTTTTTTACAAACGAAAGACAAAGAAAATTCTCATTCATAGAAAAATAAGAATGAAGACATTTTCTATGAGAAGCAATATTCTCTCTCTCTCTCTCTCTCTCTCTCGTCTCTATAACTCTAAAATTTAATTACCGTATACTTTGAGCTTCTAGAACTTACATTGTCTGCATTATCTTATAAGCCATTGAATATTTAAATCCAAACAGATGCAATTAATATAAAACTGACAAAGAAAATTTTTTCAAGAATACCATGGGAAAAAAAAAGAAAAAATTTTTCTTTGAAGAAAATTTACTTTATTCTGATTTTCTTAATAGAAAAAAAAAAGAAATACAGGAATGAAAAATATTTTTCTTACACCCTTATTTTTTAATATAGTATTTTTAATTTCATTTATTAAAGTAACATTCCGATTTGTTTGGATTTATGAAAATTTATTATTATTTTTTTTAATAATATAAAATTAATATTTCTTTGTACTTGTCTATAACATAAATATATATTAAAATTATTTTCTCCCTTTTGTAAATATATTTTTAATTTTATTTATTATTTATTGTTTTGTTTGGATTTAATAAAATTATTTATTATTTTATCGGAGAAAAATTATTTTTTTATTGTAATAAGAATAGAAGGAGAAATTTTTTTTTTTCTTTTGAATGAGGAAATGGGCGAAGAAAATAATATGAGATTTGTTTTAAGAATATAAAAAAGTGAGAGTAAGAGAAGGAGAGAGAGAGAGAGAGATCCTTAGATCCCAAAGGACACTACCCGTCAAATGAGCCAGAGGATGCAAATCAATCCCATGACGCAAAGCTCCAAATTGTGCTCCTCCGCTTGACTGCAACAATCCCTTTTCCAGCATCCACTTGAATGCACCCCTTGGGTACATCACTATAGTGGTCCAACCTCAAGTCAGACTGTGCTGACGATCTGACATAGTACCAAAACTCCTAGCGGGATTTATATATTATTATCTTTATTATAATTAAACTCAGCGCTATGTAAAAGACAATTAAGAAAAACACTGGAGCACAATTCGTTTTTGTTTTTTTTTAAAGAAACGTTAATAATTCTATGAAAATATTCCATGCTGAAAAATTAACTAACAAATTATTGTAAAATTAATATAAGTAGATAATGATAATTTTAGTCAGACATAAAATTTTCCCTTTTGTTCTTTTGGTAATTTTTTTTTATTTTTAAATAGTAAAAGACAACTTTTGTTATAAAGAGGGCTTTAAATTAACATCAAGTTAATATAAGTAGTCAAAAATAGTTTTAGTCAGACATAACTTTTTTTCGATTAAAAATAAGTGAAAATGGCAAATTTAGTCGGACAAATTTGAATTTTGAAAGATTGAAAAACTAATATCAGTGGAAAAATGATAGTTATCGTCAGACATTAATATTTTCATGAAATTGTCTTGTTATTTTTGTATTTTATTTAAAAATCAGTAGAAACTGTTAGTTTCAATCAGACAAGGTGTTTTAATCTCTAAAAATAAACAAAAGCAATAGTAGAAGTCAATTTTTGTCAGACAAAGATTTTTGAAATATTGTAATGTTTTGTGATATTAGTAGAAAATTCTAATTTTAGTCAGATGTAAAATTTTCCCTTTTGTTCTTCTGGTAATTTTTTTTATTTTAAAATAATAAAAGACAATTTTTGTTAGAAAAAGGGCTTTAAATTAACATCAAGTTAATATAAGTAGCCAAGAACCGTTTTAGTCAGACATAACTTTATTTCGATTAAAAATAAATGAAAAAGGCCAATTTAGTCGGAAAAATTTGAATTTTGAAACATTGAAAAACTAATATTAGTAGAAAAATGATAGTTATAGTCAGACATTAATTTTTTCATGATATTGTCTTGTTATTTTTGTATTTTATTTAAAAATCAGTAGAAACTGTTAGTTTCAATCAGACAAGGTGTTTTGATCTCTAAAAACAAAAAAAGCAATAGTAAAAGACAATTTTAGTCCGACAAAGATTTTCGAAATATTGTAATGTCTTGTGATATTAGTAGAAAATGTTAATTTTAGTCAGACGTAAAATTTTCCTTTTTGTTCTTCTTGTAATTTTTTTATTTTAAAATAAAAAGGACAACTTTCGTCAGACAAAGGGCTTCAATTTAACACCAAGTCAATATAAGTAGTCAAAAACCGTTTTAGTCAGACATAACTTATTTTCGATTAAAAATAAATGAAAAAGGCAAATTTAGTCGGAAAAATTTGAATTTTGAAATATTGAACAACTAATATTAGTAGAAAAATGATAGTTATAGTCAGACATTAATATTTTTATGATAATGTCTTGTTATTTTTGTATTTTATATAAAAATCAGTAGAAACTGTTAGTTTCAATCAGACAAGGTGTTTTGATCTCTAAAAATAAACGAATGCAGTGTAGTAAAAGACAATTTTAGTCAGACAATGATTTTCGAAATATTGTAATGTTTTGTGATATTAGTAGAAAATGCTAATTTTAGTAAGACAAAGTCAGACAAAGTATTTTTAAATTAACCCCAAGTTAGTAGAAGTAAAAAATGACGATTTTAGTCAGACAGATATAATTTTTTTTTCGTATTTCTACTTTTTATTTTCAAAACATAAAATTTTCCTCTTAAACAATTTTCAGTAATATGAAAAGTTAAATTTAAAATTTACAATTTGAAATATAATATCATTTTCCATGGTGAATTATTTTTTTTCTCATTTATACATTTCTAAATAGATAAATGCACGCTCTTGAGTTTACAGCACTATATATACAGGGGCAGTAATGATCAAAGTTTAAGAGTTACTTGAGCGAATCGATCATCTTCTCTTCTAGATATTATTCTGAGATAGAATTTAATTGCGAAAGTACCTGAGTATAAACTCGATTTTAGGATCAGTCCTGAACTGCAAATAGTTTGTTATTCATACAACGAGAGGGCGGGATTTGAAATACGTTTCTCTCGACCTACTCGAATTATTATTATTATTATTAGTATTATTATTATTATTATTATTAGTATTATTTACCTTTTCTTTTATGTCTACATTTCCTACCTAGTCCAAAATTAAAGAAATTACATTTAGTCAGTTCAATAAAAATTTTAATTTTTTGCAAATTAATAGAATTTTTTATAAATAAATTTTTAATCCTTGCGTTTAAAATAATTTTTAAATTTTTGTATTTAAAAAAAAATAATAATTTAGAATTTTTTGAAATTTTTCTTTGTTTTAATAACCTAAATGTAACCTAAATTTATAATGAATATTAATAATTTACGGTTTAATTTGATGAGAATAATATACATGTTTGTTGAATAAACATAAATTCAAAAGGAAGAGAATACTTGTAACTTGCAACTGGCCACTGACGCGATATAGTAATTAATTAACTAATTAATTAACGAAACGCACATAAACTTCTACCCCTTTACAAAATCAGCTTAACTATATATAAAATATATTTGTTACATAATATAATAACGAACATTAAGTAATAATACGTATATAATAATAAAATTATAAATATCGAAAAATTTTGTTTATAATGAAAAAAAAAAAATTTATCATAACACAGAAAATTATAAGATATTAAAATAAGCTGCAACGCTTATTATTTTAATCCAATTTTGCTTATTTTAATATATCAAAATGGATTAAAATAAGCAAAAATTGGGATTAAAATAATAAGCGTTGCAACTTATTTTAATGCCATTTAATTTTCTGTGAATTTTATTGTTTCACATAAAAATTTCGAATGTTAATAAAAACTTGGGGTAAATATCGAAAATAAAATAATTATAATAAAACAATTATTTTTTCTGATAATAAAATCCAGATGTTTTGTTTTTTAATAATAATCCCAATTATTCCAAAAATTATTAGAAATATAAAAAAAGTGTGATATATAAGATAAAGTAAAACAGTAAATGATAGTATTTTTTTATGTCTGAAATAAAATATATTTCATTGCTTATAAAATTGAGAATTTAAAGAATTGCATTATTTCTTTTTTCAGATATGATTTGCAGACAGATACATTATATTCCGTCTCGTGGTACAAGGACAATGAGTCGTTTTATACATACAAACCACAGTCGGAACCAAAAAAAAATATTTACAATGTGGAAGGTGTCAAAGTGGACGTAAGTATTTTTTCTCAAAAAAAAAAAAGAATGAAAAACAATTCGAATTTATTAAAAATAAATAATTAGTAAATTAAATTTATTTACTAATTTTTATTAAAACTAATAAAAATAAATAATTAGTAAATTAAATTTACTTACTAATTTTTATGTTATTTTATACACACTTGTATACATATAGCTGAAAAATATATCATTTTACTTTCTTTATACATACACAAAAACATAGAAAAAGAAAAAAAATTTTTTTACCTCAATTTTTTGGAATGGAAATTGTCTGAAACAAAAAAATTAACTGCAGACAATACATTTTGTCCAAACATTGATATAGTTTTATTTTCCACAATATATATATATATATATATATATATATATATATATATACGTCTTTTAAAAAAGGAAAAAAACACGATATCGCTCGACAAAAAACAATTACACTGCTCTCAGAACGTATATTTCAATCTAAAAATTAATATTTTTGTATACATTATATATATGTATATACCAATATTTTCAAAAAAAAAAAAAAAAAAAAAAATTTCCATTTCCCCGAATATAAAGAATTCATCGGGTTATTAAATTCTTTCGATTTATATTAAATTTATAAAACCCTTATGAAAACCAGAAATTTCGTTAAATACGCGAGAAATTTCGTGTAACAATTACTAAAACAGTAAAAGTCTAATAAAAAATGTGAATTATTTAATGAAAATATAATATACAAATTATTATTATATAAATTGTACAAATATTTGTGGTACAAAATGCAAGGGTATAAAAAATAAAATCGAGAAATATTTATAATGTACATTAAATATATAAATTTAATACTAAAATTTGTATTAAAATTTAAATCAAAAATTGAAATTAAAATTAAAATTTAAATTTGAATTTAAAATTTAAATTTAAATTTAAAAATATCACAATTTCTTAAAGAAAATAAATTTCTTTTCTTTTTTTTATATTTCATATAAAAAATTGACACATCTTTAAACATCTGGTGAGAAATAATAGTCCCTATAATTTCCGGCACACAAAAGAAAAAGAAACAAAAGTACCGCACTTTTCTTTATATCTTCTGCTTCCTCAATAAAATTTTATTACTATTATACTACACACTAAAATTTCTTTTCAGAATAAGAAATAAATGCGAGATATATAAATTGGAAAAAAATTAATAAAAAAAAAAATACTCCCTTATTTTATTGTAAACAATCCAAAAAGAAAAAAAATATATATATAATGTAATAATAATAATATAATAATATATAATAAAAGTTTACATTTTATTATATATATGTACAGAAGTTTAGATATTTTTTTAAGTGTTTGACATGTTAACAAAACAGTTATCAGATTATATATTGTTTATATACACTGAAAATTTGTCTTTACTTTCGATCCTAGCTCACGTGACCATAATAACCAACTGAACATACATAGTTAAAGTACAGTACTTACGTAAACGATTCGGAAAGTTCATTTATGACTTTCTCGAAGAAATATGGATTTCTATTTTTTCCATGAACAGTTTTGTGAACGAATTATTTTCAGACACTTCGTAGTAAATGCATTGACTTCGTTTCCGTCATTAACTGTTTCGCGATTTTTTTTTTCGCATTAAAAAATAAAATTACGACGCTAAATTTATCGTAACAAGGGCTTTAAAAAAAATAAGACCAAAAGAAAACGAATGTAAACTTGTAATATTTATGAATAATAATTTAATTATTTATTGTTTATTATTAATAATATTTATTTATTATTAATAACGTTTATTTATTATTTGTTTATTTATTATTTATTGTATTTATTTGATATTTATTGTATTTATTTATTATCAAATGTCTTCATTTATTTATTTTCTATTGTTAATAATTTATTTTTCAATATTCAATAAAAAATAATATAATTAATTTACAAAGATGAAAAAAGGATGTAAATTTCTTTGCGCATAATCAGTTTAATTTTTTTATTTTAATTAGGGGCAAGAGATATTGCAATTTGTTAATGTAAATAGAAGGATAATTTTATCATCCTCTTTTCAAATGAAGCTGTGATTAATTCTTGAAATAAGGAAGTATTTAAACAATTTATCTATAACTGGCAATAAGGCGTTTGAAATTAAAGGAAATCACTTGGAAAGGTTTCTTCGAAAACAAGGTTATATGATTCAAGCTCAAGTCTTCTAGCGACGGTTGAATTCTCCGTTGAAACCATCAAATCTTCTAAACGAGTTTATATACTACGAAATTGGTCGTTCGATCGTTTATATATATATTACTAAACTTTAAGAACAATATCAAACGTTATTTTTTTCTTTATAAACAAATTTTTTTAAAAGAATTATTTAAATAATTATTTTTCTAATTTAAATAATTATTATTTAAACAATTGCTAATTTAAATAACTAGCGTTTAAATAATTTTTTTTCTAATTTAAATAATTATCCTTTAAATAATTCTTCTTCTAATTTAATTAATTATCATTTAAATAATACTTTTTCTAATTTAAATAATTATTATTTAAAATAATATTCGCAATCAAAATTATGGTTTTATTTTAAAAATCTATTGTTTATATAATAAACCGTATTAACATGCAAAATAAAAGAAATTTATCCTTTCTAAAACTTTTCAAAAAACAAAAACAAAACCCCACTTAGTGCATTTCATTCTCCATCCAGCTTTATAGTAAAGAATCATATATTTATAAATTCTTTTACACGTAAAAATTTACCTTTTTTCCTTTTTATTTTTGTTCCATTGTTGTTGTTGTTTTTTTTTTTTTTAATAATTTAAGCTCCGAAAAAATGTGAGCTGGTAAAAATTTTATTTTTCCAGAGAAAATATTCAAGGAAAATTTTTTTTTTGAACTTTTTAACACGAGTACAAATTTTTTTTTTTTTAAATTGCAAACTGAGAAAATAATTATATTAATAGTATTATTATTATTATTGTAGTTTTTTATATTCTTATTTATAAATTAATTATTCCTTCTAATTAATTTTTTAATTTAAATAATTAAAGCGATATAAATGGTAGATTTAAGAAAAAAAAAAAAAAAAAAAAAAAAAAAAACTAGAAGAAGAAATGTGTATAGAATATATAGGACTCCTTCAGATGCTTTATATAATATTATTTTTGGAGTCTCTTTTGAAATTCCATCGAGATGAAATCAACAGCACTTGGCATTTACGAGCTATCAGAGATCTTTTTTCTCCCTGAGCGTTGAAAACTATTTCTTTCTCCTTTTAACTCATGAACTTTCCATCCAGTGGAAGTTCACTCTTTGGCTCTCGAGGGTGAAACTTCCGTTAAAGCGATGGCGGTAAACAATCTCAGGCGCTTTGAGGAAGTTACCGCGTGCTTATCTTTTGCTGAACTTTTTTTCACTTTCTCGTAGATGAACTCGTCTGTTAATTCCAAGAGGACTGATTCTTTCTATTGACTTTTCGTTATACTTTTTTTTTTCTTATTTTTTTTTTTTTTTTTTTTTTTTATTAAAGTTTACCTGCTTTTTCTCGAACGCCAAAGTCATTGGAAATGTGTATATATATATATAAGCTCACTGATAAAAATGCATCTGACGAAGAGAAAAAAAAAATTTATAAATGAAGAGAATATTTTGTTGAAATTTTATGTAGATTTATATTTTTTTATCCTTTATTTATACTTCAATAATTATACATAATTATTTATAAATATACTATTTATAATTAAATAATTTATTTAAATTTAGTTTTTTGAAATTATGATAACTTTTTTTTATCGATAATTAAAATAAATTTAGTTGTTTTGTGAGGTGAGTTTTTTTTTGGCAGTAGTAGAAGAGAGTATTAGTCAGACGGGACTAAAGGGGGATAAAAACAGTTTTTGGGAATTAAATTTTTTTCAGTAGTAGAAGATAGTTTTAGTCAGACGGAGGTTATATATTAAAATAGTTTTAGTTATTTTCGAAAATAATGGTTTCAGTAGTAAAAGACAGATTTAGTCAGACATAAATAAAAACAAAATTAAAAATGTTTTAGTTATTTTGGAAATTAAATTTTTCATAAGTAGTAAAAGACAGATTTAGTCAGACATAAATAAAAACAAAATTAAAAAAGTTTTAGTTAATTTGTAACTTAAATTTTTTTATTAGTAGTAAAAAACACTTTTAATCAGACAAAATGTTTTTTTTATATCAATTTTATAAATTCCAAACTATAAATCCGTTCAAATTCTGATAATTTTGTGGCAGTAGTAAAAGACATTTTTTGTCAGACATTGACAAATTCTTGTTCTCTTTGCATCAGTGGTAAAAAGCCGTTTTAGTCAGACGGGGCTGAAAACTAGATTTAATTAGTTTCAGTTATTTTGGAAATAAATGTTTTCAGTATAGTAAAAGACAGATTTAGTCAGACATAAATAAAAACAGAATTAAAAAAGTTTTAGTTATTTTGTAAATTGAAAATTGTTTAAGTACAGTAAAAGACAGTTTGAGTCAGACAGAAGTAAAAAAAAACAGTTTTAGGTAATTACTTTATAACTTAAATTTTTTATTAGTAGTAAAAGACACTTTTAGTCAGACAAAATGTTTCTTATAGCAGTTTGATAAATTAAAAACTAAAAAAACGTTCAAATTCTGATAATTTTGTCGCAGTAGTAAAAGACACTTTTAGTCAGACAGTTACAAATTCTTGTTCTCTTTGCATCAGTGATAATAAGCAGTTTTAGTCAGACAATGTCTTTCTTAATATTATATTTTACTACAATTATCCTTTCTATAATAATAATAATGTTCCTTCTAATTTATAATTAATTACAAAAATAATAAAGAACAATTTTGAGAAAAGGAAAAATGAAATATTTTCTCTCTCAAAGATGTAAAATTAGTTTCGATTCAGGTAAATGTCATTTTATCTTATAATATCATATTGTAATGAACAGTTTTACGGGTTTTCGATCACATTACAGAACATTCAAAGCAATGAGATACTAAAGGAAATGAGGTAAAGAAGAAAAGAAAATGGGGGTAAAAGAGAAAGTATATTCCTTCAAGTGAAAAGCCTTGCGGCAAAGTAAATGGATTATCAGCATCACGATTCTATCTCTGAGCATTGTATCTTCTCTCTCTCTCTCTCTCTCTCTCTCTCTCTCTCTCTCTCTCTCTCTCTCTCTCTCTCTCTCTCTCTCTCTCTCTCTCTCTCTCTCTCTCTCTCTCTCTCTCTCTCTCTCTCTCTCTCTCTCTCTTTCCTTCTCTCTCTTGTTACACGTTTTGGTATTCGGATTTTCCATAAAGTACCAGCAATGCTTAGTAAAAGTACACACAGAGACCGTTTTAACCACATAGACACACAGGGACACAACGTAAACTAAATTTTCAAATCGAGTCCTGTCTGACAACTCTCTCTCTCTCTCTCTCTGAGTCGAGCAGGTTCTTAAGGGAGAAGAGTACCAAGTCGAGCAAACGAAATTTCAGCCAAATATCGGCTTCTCAAGATTTGTGAGCCTCAAGGTATTTGCCCTCAATGATCGGTTCGATTATCTCTTGAAGCATTGAAATATTCACGAATGCATATGATAAAATTAGAACAAAGCTTTTCATATCGTCAACAGAAACACTTTTATTCAGAATAAAATAAAACCATTTATTTTTCTTTTTTTTTTCTTATCTTTTAATTGGAAAAAAATGAAACAAATGTTTCTCGATTACAAATTTTTCTTATTTCTTAAAATTAAGACAACAGTTTACTTTTCCTTTGAAAAAATAACAATTTTACCGAAAAAAAAATTTACAATTTACTTTACTGAATAATTAAAAAACTCTACTAAAAAAATGGACTATTTTTTGAAAAATTGATCGAAAAATTGTATTTCAATTTTTTTTTTTTCGTTTGCTGCAAAATAAAATGAAAATAACAAAAAAGAAAAAAAACAGAATCGTAAAGTTTTACTGAGTTTTGTATAAAATAACTTTGATAGAAAAGTTTTTTTTTTTTTTTTTTTTTTTTTTATTATTATTAAATTTAATTTCAATGTGAGAAGAATATATTATTTGTATTTTTCAATTCTATTGTGAAAAATAATTTTTTTCTTTTTCTATGTTATAGCTTGGGCATTCAGATCACCAACAAGTGCATCTAAAGCACGTAGAACTTCATGCAGCTGGAAAATATAAGTGCGAAGTTAGCGCGGATCGTCCAAACTTTGAAACTTTTGGAAAAGAGGAATATATGGAGGTTGTAGGTAAAGTTGACTTATTTCATATATAATTTTATTTTTAAATTTTTTTCTTCAAATTCAATAATTTTTCATTTTTCAATTAAATAATTATAATTATATAGTTATAATTTTTTTTTTCACAAAGAAATAATATAAATTGGAAAATAATAATTATATATAATTAAAAAATATTCGCAATTTTAATAATTTTTTTTGAATTTTTCACATAATTTTGAAAAAAAAAGAAAATAGAAAAGAAATATCTTGAAAATTTAAGTACAATTATCGTTTAATAACTAGTTATATTTTATATAATGTAGTAAAGGCGTCAAAGTATGATGAATATTACATCGTATAAATTTTATATCGTCTGAAAAATATCAGTAACGTTCTATATATATATATCACTTTTTCCCAACTCTTATATTTACAAGTTCTTGATCGTATATAACATGGTTCTACAATTTTACGTAATACAACAAAATTACGATTTATTTCAAACGTGCAAAAAATTCGTTTTAATTATTTTCCTTTTGATTTTTTTTTTCCTCTTTTAATTCCAAAAGTTAAAGTGGAGAATTACACGCAAGTATTTTATAGGCGAAAATTTCCTAATTTAAAAATACGTGAAAATAATTAAGCGTGAAGTAAGTTTAAAAAATATGAAAAAATAGGTCAAGATTGATTCTTATGTTATAAAAAAATACATATTCCAATTTAAAATTAACTTTCTTTTTTTTTTGCTGAAATTGATATCAAACCTTTTGATTTTAAAAGTGAAATATAGTATATATTTTAGTGGAAAATTTAAACCCCTTCTTTTGACCACACCTTACAATGAAAAATTACACAGAAATTATGGTGTATTTTAGTTGTATACTTTTGGTTCATCCTCTCTCTCTCTTTCTCTCTCCTAGTTTAAACCAATGCGGTGGCTCTAGAACTATTATTCGTCATGAGGAAAGGGGTTTGGGGGGTGTTGATATACTTGAAGTTGAAAGTACACGCAAACTAAAACGAGGTAAACTAGTCAAATTACAACTTTACAGATGTGCCTTGCACCAATGATCATACAACTGAACTAAACGAGAATACAGATGATTTAGATGGTTCATAATAAAGACAAGGTCTTTTCATTGTATTTAATTTTCCGTTTTTGTTTCTAATTATTTTATATTATTACCAGCAAAATATTATTACATATTAAATAATAATAATGAAAATTATATGTTTATAGGCTTCGGATTATACGACTTTTTCCGACTTTTTTCAAAAATACGACTTTTATTGACTTATTTTAATAAAATGCGACATTTTTTTTTTACATTTGAAAAAAAAAATGTAAATAAAATACATTTTTTTTTAGTATAAAATGTAGATCTTCTTCAAATCTTCTTCAATTCAATTATTTAACAAATTTTGAACTAAAATGATTCTTCACTAAATTAATTATTTTTAATAATTTTAATGAAATACATTACAAATTCAATTATATCAAAATTATTTTTCAATTCAAATTTTTATCAAATTTAACAATTGTTTATAATTTTAAAAAAATATATATCACAATAAAATTGCATTATTTTTTAAAAATTTCAATTCAAAATAAACTAAAATTCAATTATTATCCGAAATTTTAATTCAAAATCAATTAAAAATTCAATAATTATCCAAAATTTTCAATTTAAAATTTAATTATTTACCAAGTTTTCAATTTGAATTGAAATAAAATTCAATTATTTTCTAAAATTTCTATTCAAAATTAATTATCAAAATTTTCAATCAAAAATGAAATTAAATTATTATCCAAAATTTCAATTCAAATTCAATTATTTCCCAAAATTTTCAATTCAAAATGAACTGAAATTCAATTATTTTCCAAATTTAAAATCAAATAAAATTTAATTATTCTCAAAAATTTGAATTCAAGATTAATTGAATTTTCAATAATTTGAATTTAAAAGCATCTAAAATTTAATTATTTCTAAAATTTTTCATCCAAGATTTCTTTTTTTTGAAATTTAATAATTTCAATTATAACTCTAAGGAAATTCAATTATTTTTAACTATTTTAATAATATTCTTTGAAAATTCAACTATATGAAACCATTTTTCAATTAAAAATGATTTTCAAATTATTTGTATTTTGTCCGCATTTTCTAATAAATTTTTAGTGAAATCATCTAAAATTTTAATTACAAAACACTTAAAGTTTCAATTAATTTCAAAAATCTCAATTTTAAATCATTGAAAATTCAATTAAATTTAAAAAATGTTTTCCAAAAATTGTTTTGATAAATTATTTTTAGTTCTGTAAAATTTAATAATTGAAAATTAACAATATCTTTTGAAATTTAATTATTTCTAAAAATTTCAACTTTAACCCTTCGAAAAGGATTATTATTAAAAAAAAATTTTTTTATTTAAAAATCTGTAAAATATTTTTGTTAAAATAAAAAACAAATCCACTTTTTTTTGGAATATAAATCGACTAAAACGACTTTTTGTGTCTTTAAGTTGATTCAAGGCCTGTGTTTTTATAATTAATATATTTAATAGGTATTCGTTGGCCCCTGGTACATTAAAAATTAATTTTTAAAAATAAATTTTTTTCAAATTACTATCTTGTACGAAATTTCCTGGCGCATCAACTCATCATAAATTTTTTGTATTTGCATACAATTTTTAAATCAATATACAACTTTAAAAAAAATTTCGTTGATAAACGTTGTGTACTTCAGCTTTGTGAATTGAATTTTCGAATTTGGAATTTTAAAGAAACTTATTCCGAAATTTAGAAACACAATTATACAACTTTGGCAAAAATGAGAAAAAGAATTATCAAAATTTGACACGTCATAAGATTACTATTCAAAAAAACACGTGAAATCAGAAAAGGCCAACTTCAAGTTAGGACAGAAGGACAGACCAAGCATTTTATTATTATATAATTATTATTATTATTATTTTAATTTTTATTTATTATTATTATATTATAACAAATTTTTTTTCCAATATTTTCATTAATTTATTTTTATCACAGTGGAACTAAAAATTCATTTATCATTAAAAATTTAATTTTTTGTTAATTTCAAATGATTTTGTTTGCAGAAATTCTAAAATAATTATAATGATAAATGTGTTTTCATTTTTTTTTCTACATTTTACATTCTATACTCGAGTTTTAACCGATATTTCGAATGTAAGTTATATATTCTACGTTACACTATCCACAACGAATAGTTCGGTTCTAGTGAAGTGAAAGGGATCATTTATAACTTCCCTTGTGCGCACACATGAATATATATATTTCACACGGAAAATCAAGATGCCAGTTTACCTTTTAGAGGGATAAAATTTCAATTATTTTATTCTCACAACTTTTTTGAAAATTTAAAAAAAAAAAAATAAAAAATTGTAAAATATACTCTTTGACTTTTAAAATTTTTATAATATAAAGGAAATTATTTTTTCTTTTTTTTACAGTTTTACCACAGGATGGACCAATAATTACCGGTCAAGAAAATATTTATGCAAGTGGAGATATTCTCTCACTAAATTGCACAAGCGGAAGATCACATCCCCAAAGTCTTTTGAGATGGTTCATTAATGGTATTCAGGTAAGCTCCACCTTATTAATAATAATACCCTCATGAACAATAAACTAATTATATCCTCTTTATCCAGAAACCGTGTTTTTTTGTCATATATAAAAAAAAATTCTCCAAAAAAAGCAATTTTTTTTCTTTCAATTAAAAAAAAAAAAAATTATGGGAAAAATTTATTATACTAAAAAAAGAAGTTTTATTATTGAAAAAAAAGCTATTGAAATTCTAGTGAATTTAATTTAATAAAGAATATACCTACGTTTTCTTATATTGATATTTGTATAGAATGATAGAAAAAAAAAAAAAATTCGTAATTCTTCATGCTCAAGATATTTCTTTTATAGACAAGTTCAACGAGATGAAAAATTATAACGACATACAAAACTATCGAAGAAGTTTGATTTGGAAAATTTTTATCAAATAAAAAAATAACTACGCATTGATGCAAATAATTATAATTTATATTTGATATATAACTATAAAATATTTATCAACAAAAAAAAAAATTATAAATTAATATTTTCGATTTTTTTATTTAAATTAACAATTTATCTGTATATTTAAAATTAAATACATTAATAAATAATTTTTTAATTAAATAAAAAATTAATTAAATAAATAAACTTTTTTTTTCCAAAGAAAATTAAAAAAAAAAAGAAGAGAATAAGAAGTATATGTGTTTCGTACTAAACTTAAAATTTAACATAAGAGGCAGTGATACACTATCATTAAGGATGTCATCAGAATTACGATAGACGAACATCGTTAAACTCAAAGCAAGGTGCACTTTACCTCGAGTAGTTGATGAACCAAAGCTCCAATTAACGCTTAAATTGAAACACGTTTGCTTATAAAAACTTTTAGTTTTTTCTTTACACTTTTATCTTCTTTGGTATATATGCCTTCTTATCAGAGGGGAAAAAAAAGGAAAATAGAAAGATAACTTTCCGAGTCTTGAGATTATCACACTTCCAAATTGAATTATTCAAAAAAAAATTAAAAAAAATATATAGAAAAAATATATTTAAATTTTTTTTTATTTTTTTATAAATTTATATATTTATAAATAATTAAATAAAATAATTGTAATATTTAAAAAAAAAACTGTTGTCATCATATCATGATATTATTTTGCTGAATTTAGAAAGATGAGAAGAATTTAATTGGCATTTTATACTAAATGTCGCGACAAGGATCAATATATCAGATTCTGAAAATAAATTTGACCTTTCAAATTCTTTTCTCCAAATATTCGACGTTTATTTAATGATAAAAATAATATAACACAATATAGAAGATTTTTTTTCAAATTAAAATTTTTTTTTCTTTTTTTGCAGGTCAAACCCGACGCTGAAATATTAATACCTCAACATGGTCTCTATATTGTAATATCAAGTTTACGTGTTGAAGTTGGACCGCATCATATAAATAGTGGACGAATGAAAATCAGGTAAATTTTTTATTTTCAATTACAAAAAAAAAAAAAAAATATTCAGTTACAAAGAATAAATTATTTTCACAAAAAAAAATTGTCAAAGATTTTTTTAAATTAATTTTTATAATAGTACATATGAATGATAATTTTTTAAACTATTTTTAAGTTAACTGAAATGTTTAATTGTCTTGAAATATTATTCAATATTTCTGATTATAGTAAATCAGATTAGTAATATATTTTACAATAATAATTAGTAACTTCAGTTAATTGTCGATAAATTATATTAAATTATGACAAGAATCAAGTAATTTTAGTTTTTTTTTTCTTCCAATAATTGACAATTAAACACAGCAGGTTAATTAAGAAACTTAAAGAATTATTTCTATCGGAATTCAATTAACCCCATAACTGCGATGACGACGATTTGACGCACAAAATTGTCGTCATCAGCAGTTAAGGTATTAATAATATATGAAGAAAATTATTATTTAGAAAATTAAATATCCATTTTCATATTTTGCAAATGACTTTTTTTAAACTAATTTAAATAGAATTAATATTTAAATCGTAATTAATGATTTTTTTCTGTTGTTTTACAGATGTGAATCTGTTTTACAAACATCACAAATAGAAGAATCGTTAATTGACTTGAAAAAGGCAGAAATTTTAGGTAAGTAAAAAAAATTGTTTTTTTTCAAAATATATAATTGTTATTAAAAATATAATAGTTATAAAAAAATGTATAATTGTAAAAAAAAAATGAAATTGTTATAAAAAAATAACAATTGCCACTCGGAAGTCGATGCTTACATATATATATATATATATATATATATATATATATTTAGTGAACAATGTCTCTTGTGACAAGAATTCACGGAAATTCTTGCCTTAAAGGAAGTCCTACCTCAGCAAAAGCAAGTCTCAAGTAAGATTTACCATCTAAAAGGAATTACCCTGTAGGGGAAGTCGCTGATTTCATAAATTTTCAAGATTTAAGAGTTACATTTTCTAAAGAATATTTTCGAATTCTTAAGACTCTTGATGTTATGTTGACTCTTTTTTTTTCCCCCCTCCTCTTATCATTATAAAGAATTATTTAAATGTAATCTTGTAATAGAAACGACTTTTCCTCCATCACTAATAATTTCCTTTTTTTTTTTTTTTTTTTTATTTTATTTTAAATTATTTTAATTAATTAAAGATTATGATTAAAAACTATGTATTGTATTTTCTTTTATTTGAAATTAATATGTATCAAAAATTTTTTCTCTTAATTGATAAAATAAATGAATAAATAATAAAGAAATGAGAAAAAAAAAATTAAAATAATTATAAGAGAATTTTTTCTCACATATTTAAAATAAAAACGAAAAAAATTGAAATTTAAACAAGAAGAGGAATTAAAAAAAAATTGCTTAAACATTGTACTTTAGAATAATTGAAATAATTTGAAAAATATTATCGAATATATGTGAAATTCATACGAGAATATCTCATTTATGAAGAGAATAATTTATCTCCACAGAATAGGTATTTTTTAATTTTATAAGAAATTCCCTTCTTCTTTTTTTTAAAAAAAATTATTATCTCAATGAAATTTTTCAATTTAATTTTGTTTAATCAAGAAGAATTTTTGATTTATAACTTTTGGTGAAAAGAGATTTTCGATATTACATTTAATGTATATATATATATAGGACAAAATGACTCATTAGTGTAATTTCATATAATTATAATACTGTCGCTAATACAAATAATCAAATTGTTGAGTTACACGTGACTTTAATGACAGTGCGCTCTCTAACGAGAGGAATAATGACTTTCGCGCGAAATCGATCTCCCGCAACCGCGCGGAATTAACAATCGGTCGGAAACCCGGCGTACCACTTAAGCAAATTAACGGACTTTATGGATTTGCAAGTCCATAAAATTAGCCCGGCACTCCCCTATATAGAACTCACTCTCTTTTTCTCTCTCTCTCTCTCTCTTTCTCTCTCTCGAGACGCCTTCTTTCCCTACCCCTCCCCCCTCCCCTTACCCCAGGGGGTGGCGCAGAAATTAAAACAATAATTTACAACTACCTACTCAGGTTCGCGTAAACCTCCCCTTCTCACTCACCTCACCCCCTCTCCTACCCCCCTCCCCACCACCTCACTACCATATCTCCTACTACTTTTACGTTCTCGTTGGCTGCCGTTTAATTGCGACTTAAATTTTCTGTCTACGTTGCCCGCGATTATGTAAGCAGAAAATATTATTAATTACAATTATCGAAAAGTGTGAAATTTATTTATTACCAATGGTAAAATTTAATTGAAAAAAAAAACTTTTTTTTAAAAAAAAATTAGAAAGTAAAATTTACCATACTGATGTATATATATATTTTTTTTTCCAATAAAAACATTATTTTATCTTCCTATTAAAAAAAATTTTTTTTTTTTTTATTAATTCTTTTTCATATAGTGAAAATTTTAATTTAAAAGAAATTTTTTTCATATCAAAATTTAAAAAAAAGAAAACCTTTTTCATGAATTTTTTTATTTTATGAACACACTTTGCTTTTTCATGGAGATGATAATTAAATAACTTTATCTCAAAGAAAAAAAAAAATAGGAATCTGTTATTCTTACGCTAAAAAAAAAAAAATTAATAGTATAAAAATATATTTATTTTACATTCAAAGATTCGAGAAACATTATTTACACTAATTATGTAATTTTGATATAAAACACACACGCAATTCAAAAAAATTATAATGTTTTCATTGAGCATATATATTATTTGTAACAAATGTTAAAAGCTTTTCAACTCAATTTTAATTGAGTTCTCATATATTATAAACTAATTACAGAGATGAATTTATTAAAAGTAGCAATTAGCGAAATTTAATTGAAAATAAATTTAAAAAAAAATTTTAATTACCTTTTTACAACACACGCTTATGTATATAAAAGTTATGTCAATAATTTGTGAAAATAAAAATTTAATTATAATTTAAGAAATTATGAAATTAATTTTTAAATTAAAAATAAATTAGTAATAGTTTTTAATTTATTTAAAATAATTCTATTTATTATATATTTATTTATTTTATGTATTTAGTCTATTTATTTAATGCATTTTTTTATTTTATTATTTTATTTTATTATTTTATTTATTATTTTATTTATTATTTATATTTATTTTGAAAATAATATAAATTACACTTTTAAATGTATATAAATAATATACACGTAACGAAGACAAACTTTCAATGTAGGGTAATGAAAAATTAATTTCACAGTCGTTGAAGTGTAAATTTATAAAAGCTTGGTTAGTGAAACGTATGTGTTGGACAGGTGAATAGTCTCGTTACTCAAAATTTCACGAAACTACGCACAACGACAAAATGATTAACGGTGCAGTAGATTGATAAACAAATCTCTCGAGAATCGAGACTGAATTACCATATATAGAAAATATTTTATTATCATTTTCGTAACTTAATTTATATAGCAAACATTTTTTTTTTAAATATATTTTTTAACATTTTAACTTTTTATTTCATATATTTCAAATTACAATTTATTTTCATAACAAATTAAATTAATTATAATATAATAATAATAATAATAATAATAATAATAATAATAATAATAATAATAATAATAATAATGATGATAATAATAATAATAATAATATAATAATAATAAAATTATAAATTAATAATAATGAAACAATATATAAAAAATCAATTTTTTTATTATTTCCTTTCTTTCTTCAATAATATCAAAAAAAAAGAAGAAGAATAACATGTATTCTCGTTAGTTGAGTCAATGAGAAAATCTGATGGAAGATTGGTAAGAAGCGATACGACTAATAGTTGAAATCCATAGAAACAGGAAAAAGCGCAGAGGAGGTAAACCGGAAAAGCCGCGGAGCGACTGGAAGAAATTACTCTTAACGATCTTCGATTTTCTCGTTAGAACGAATCGTTCGTGGAACGCCTCTCGCATTTACTGTCTAACTTGAACTCGTCGTGTATTTTTTTTCTTTTCTTTTTTTTTTTTTTTTTGCTGCAACCAAGTTGCCTCTAAACTTTTTCCACTGTTACCATCAAAATGTCACAAAACTCCACAAAAGTAAAATACAATATTTTTTTTTTACTTCTATTAAATCATAAAAAAAAATAGAATAAATATGTTTTTTTTGTTTTTACACGATTTTCAATTTTTGTATAACACATTATTTGCGGTTTTTTTTATATATATATATATTGCATGTATGCTTATATACCACTGTTTGGTATGTCAATGTAATCAACAAATTGTTTTCATTCCATAGCAAACAACTCTGTGTAGAGTATTAAAAAAAAAAAAAAATCAATAATGACCTAAATTGACAGTGAGGATTGAAATTTTTTTTTTTCCATAGAAACTGAAAAAAAATTTTTTAATTACTTTTTTTTCTTTCTACGATTTATATTAATATTATTGAGAAATGTGAAACGTGTTTCCATCATTTTTTTTCCACAAGAAATCTCTCTTTTGAATTAATAATAATTTTAATTAATTTTTGATGAATTAATTTTTTCCTATGAATTAAATAAATATTAATCTTTTATTTTACCAATTAGCAAAAATTTAAATAATTCATTGCAAAAACTAACTCATTTTAATTAGTTATAAAATTTTTATGACAATTTAGATATTAGAGAAAAATGATATAAAACTGAGAAAGAGAATTTATAAATAATAAATAATTTTTTTAAAAAGAGTGTTTTTATATATATTTTGAAATAATCAATAATTTAAAGGATGAAAAAAATTTGTTGAATTAAAACAAAATATTAATATTAAAAATATATATATGAGTAAAATTTTATAATTCTAAAATATGAGATATTGAAATAACATGATTTTTATTTATATATGTTGAAATAGTTATTTGAGTATTATGCAAGCAAAAAAAAAAAAAAACTCGTTTGAAAATCCTCTCAAACACATATTTTAATTGGCAGATTTAAAAATACACTCTGAATATTTATCTGTAAATAGTACTTCAACAACTCTATTTCAAAATTCGTAAAATAAGTTATCAAAAAGTTAATTTCATTCAAATACAGAACTTTTCCTATAATTTTCGTAATTATATTTAAAGAAGGAGAAACAAATTTTTAATTAAATATTTCAAATTCGTGTAATTTTAGTATATAGAAGTAGTGTAAACCGTTTTTAGTCAGACAGAGAGATGAAAATTTGATTTTAGTTATTTCACTCACAAACTTTTGGATAATTTTTGTAAATCAGTAGTAAAACATGATTTTAGTCAGACGAAGCAAATTAAACAAGTTGTAATTTCAGATGTTCATTACATGAACATTTTGCTTCCTCTTTACGATCAGCAAAAAAATTTGCTTCCTCGTGGAGAAAGCAAAGTTTTATTGCTAAAATGTGAATTTCTGATTTTTTAACTTTCATTAATTCTTTAAATTTACTTCAAATGTATACTTTATATATATCGATCAATTCGTCTTGACGTAAGGAATACGATTTTATTATATATAACTTTAATTTTTCCATTTAAAAATTTTTTCGATTAAAAAAAAATTTTTGGAAAAAAGACGATAAAAATTTTTTTTTGAGGTATTTTTAAAAATCCTTTGTTGAGATTTGAGATATTAATATG